GCTCTGTAATTTTGGGGATTTTTTTAATGCTGAGCGTCAATTGAATTGTCTTAGTGTCAGATAAAATGAACAGAAAGGCCACATATGTGTCATTTAACTTGTGAACTTGGCTACAGATACAATAGATTTCATGAAATGGGTGCAAGGTGGGGGACAACCAGAGGTTGAAATTGAAGTTCCCATGCTCTGACTACCGATGAAAATTGAAAAGAATAAGCATGTTAATTTATAATTTAGCCACAGTGATTAGTAGTAAATAATGAAAATACTGCTGCTCTGAGGAATATGCAATGCCAAACCTGTGAACTCTCTTTAAGATTTAGCAGGAGTTTTACTAGCTGGGGGGGAAAAAAAAGATCCATTTCAGTTCTGTGTTGCTTGAGTATAGATATTATGAGGGGCCAAACTCGTTCTGTCTCACTCCCCTATTCCAACCCTGCTCAAAAACCATAATGCTGAATGTTTTACTTTGTCTGGACTGTTATGCATTCTGCCTAAAAACATCTGTGGAAAAAGAAGAAGAAAAGAACCTCTGGAAACATGGAGTAGAAATGAATTTAGCAGATGGCAAAGTGAAAAATCACACATACCAAGGAGATTTTGTGCAAGGAGAAGAGATGAGAGCAGAGCATATTTATTAAAGCAAAAAGAAAAGAAAAAGAAATGAAACCACATATACAATATGCATATACATATGCCATATACAGTATATATAGAAGAAAGACCTCATCCTATTCGGTAGAAGATGTTAACCAGAATACTAGAAGTAATTAAGTTTTCATTTGAGTTGAATACAAATATTTGCAAGCGTACACATGTATAATATCTCTAGGCAATGAAAATCTAGTTTTTAATTTACCCTGGAAGAACGATTTATACGGCCATGTCTCATAGGTAAAAACTGGTGCAGAACCATGTTAAAACCACCATAAAGTTTGGTTATGTCGAGATACCACCCCTCATGAAAGCAAGATCTTTGGCAGTCAGGCAGAGTGTGAGACACCTCTCTGTTTGAACAATTCCTGTTGACTTCAATGGAAGCTGTGCCTAAATTAGGGCTTCTGTCCAGCCCCTAATACGGAGAGTGCTGTAACTTGGGTCACTTGCAGTGCTTGGCACCACAGCTGAAGACTGTGCCTCCTTTCCTTTCCCTACCCCTCCAGAGTCCCCACAGCAGGTCAGGCTTTTCCCTTCCTTTGCTCTGAAGATTAAACACAACAAAGGATGTTTTCTGTAAAGCGAGGTGCACAGTGCAGTTTTGCCTTCTCTCTAGTTGATGTTCTAATGTGTAACTGTAGGGTTTAATTTTACTTTACATTAATCAAAGAACAATAACGGCCATAAAAACCCCACTAAGAAGCATTTCAAGTTAAGATCCAAAGCTAAATGCCATGGGATTTTGCCTATTGTCTTGTTTAGTCCCTCTGTAAAAAGAGCTAGATAGCAGGAGAAAGAAAGAAAAATTGAGCCCATGTTTTTTTGCATAGAGATGGAGAAAACACATAATAAATTAGGGGGAGAGAGGAGTGAAATAAAGGCCAGAGGTAAACGACGTTTAATTGTGTGAGCTGCTCTTCCTCTTGTGGTTCCTGCCAGCTGCTGCTGCTATTGCTACCTTCCTGTTTTAAGATGAAAGCAATGATGGTAGACACGTGCAGACACACAAAAGAACCTATTTGGACTGGTGTGTCAGCTCATCTTTATCAAATGTTGCACAGGTATATTTTGTTGCCATGCTTCATTACCCCAGAATGGCGTGCCTGAAATGTTTGTCTCTTCTATAAACCCAATAGCTTTCCCAGCGAGTCACATTTGACAGAGCAATAGACAGGTATTCGCTTGCTGGCATCCGTTTGTAAAGCCCGGGCAATTATGTATGTATTATCCATACATATATATATATATATATATATATATATATACACACGCACATGCATATATACACACAGGGGAACACACACATACACATAAAGATACGTATATAAACATGCATACATATGTATATATATGTCTAGAGACACAAACAACATGAGAGGGTGATGTACTGTGATATTATTTGTATATAGAGGGAGACTATACATCTATATACACCACATAAAAGGGATGCTCAGTACAATAATACATTTGTACTGAAATTAACATATCCATTCGGACAAAATTAATAACAGAGAACAGGAATTTTAATGCTAATTTCTTATTCAAATACAAACAACAGTGAAGAATACAATATTGGAAAAATAGGTGGATGGTCTCTTATGAATATTTTATTTCTAAGGTTTTCCACTGAGGGGAAAAACCCCAACAAAATATGAGGCACGTCACTTTAGCCTGGAACTAGTGGAACAGTAACTGTTCAAAACGAGGAGGAAATGAGAGCAAAAGGAAGAATAAAACGAAGTTGGGTTTTTTGTTGTTGTTGATGTTGTTGATTGGGTGGGGTTTTTTTTGTTTCTTTGTTTTTGGGTTTGTTTTACTTTTTTCCCCCCTGGAGAAAAGGCATTATTTGGAGGAAAAAGCTTTGAGGGGAGAAGTCAGCCCCAGTATGTGCCTCGGGGCCCTTCTGCACAAACAGCCAGCCACGGAGGGTTTGCAGGCACATCTGCAGAGTGAGAGAAAGATTCAATAACAGTGTGGCTACCTTCATTAATTTTAAACTAATTCACATGCTAGAGCTTGGTGTATTGCTTAAATGTGTCTGATTGTTCACCTGTAACATGATAATATTTTCTCCCTCATAGGAGGGTGAAGCTGAGGGCTCACGAGCTTCTCCCTGACAGCTCCTGCTCCAGCTGTGCTGAAGATGTGCACGCACCAAAATGCACGTGTTCTTATAGCCAAGGAGGGAGGACTAACTACGCCACCAAATACTCTTTTAGATGGAAAGAAATCTTCAAGCCTGGGAATTGCAAGGTGGGTGCTGCTTGCCCTGCCATCCAGAACAGAGGGTTAATGGCAAGGGGGCGGATGGAGCCCGGGTGTAACCACGCAGGATTTGCAGGATAGTTCCATCCCAGGGTGGTAACAGCATTGAAATTACTTGATGGATACTATTTTCATTATTATTACTTTAATGCACCATTGTGGACACGGTCCTGTACCATAAAAGAATAATGCAAGCAAAACACAGGCCTTATATATGCAATTACATCCACTGCAGCTCAAAAAGAAGACAATTAGTGGAGTGCATTCCCCAGAAAGCCATCCACGAAGGTCAGAGTTCGGGAGTAACATTTCCTTTCCCATCTCTCCCCCCAGAAAACTAGACATTACCAGCATCAAATCATCCACAGAGCACTCTAACTAAAAGGAGAACATTACGGGTAAGTAGCAGGCACTGTAATTGCCTAAACAAACAGAGTTTAGACGGAAAAACTATAATTCTAGTGTTTCTAACGTGTGGTTGTGTTTGGGGATTTTTTTTTGATCGGTTTGTTGGTTGTGTGTTTTTTGTGATTGGTTTGTTGCATTTTTTTGTAAGTTTTGGGTTGGATTTTTGTGTTGTTTATTTTTCTGTATCTAATGCTAATAAATAGCATAATGCAGAAAATGCTGCTTTGAGTTACTGACAAAATTAAAATATGAAACTGCTCCTTTTAGTAAAATTGCAGTTCATGCCTGCTAACAAGAAAGTGAGAAATAAATATCATCGGGACTCCCAAATTTGAAATTAATTTCTTATTTTGAGTACTGAAAGCATTTATGGTGCTATCTTTTCCCCCATTTTAGCATATGTGAGTAATGCCCAGCTGGAACTGGAAGTGATTCAGCCTGCAAGATGTTGTCCTTCCTGCTGGAGTGGAAGGGGGACCAGAAATACCAGCACTTCTGTATCTCAGCTAAATTTTCCATCCATTTGAGCAGACAGACGTGGTTGTGATGTGTTGGGGCACTCAAAGTCAGTGATTACCCCCTCCTCTCCAGGTGCCATACTGCAGAACTCCTCCAGAAACACATGGAGGAAGCACTGGCTGTTACTAATCACTGCTAAGCAGCTGCTGCCTTTTACTTCTTGGTCTGTTCACCAAAGCCTGGCTTGTGTGAGGAAGGTGGCTTGTCCACACCTGGTTTTGGTACAGGAGACCCCACAGAGCTGGGGATAAATCTCCTTTTTATAAGCACATCCCGCAGAAGGACACTGTGGCTCTCATGAAGTATTGGCAGCAAATGCATTGTTTGCTGTGCTTGGAAGTTCCCTCCATCATTTTGTTTCTCGTGTCCATTTTCATTGCAAGATTTTCAGGATACAGAGTCAACCCCAGCCAGCTTATTCCCAACACCAAGGCTTCTCATTTTGGCTGGTGCTCAGGCATTGTTGTACTTTATATGATTAGTAATAGTTTAATAAGCCTGAGAAACTTGAACCTCCCCTTGACCACTGTGATGTTCAGTGTCATTTCAGGAGCTGCATCACACAAATTTTAGGTTTGAAAAAGGTGCTACAGCATCCACCACAGATAATACAATGCCTCTTAGGACTCCTGCCCTGTGTAATCTTTTCATACAAATTGCACAAAATCAACAGCAGGGCAGGTACAGGAATAAAGGGGGACAAGATAATGGGCTGAGGGGCCAGGGGGAGCTGCTGAAAAGCAGCAACAGATTATGTGGAGCTGAAAGCTGGGTAGGACCTTTGGGTAAAATAATAGTACCCACTGTGTTTATATCAAATACCATGGGGTTTTCCTTTAATGAAATGCCTCATAGGTCCTCATTTTCTTGTTTGAGTAGATTTTAAAGAGTATGGAGTAACTGATGCACTGGAATCAAAGACAGGGGAGCAGGAAATACATCTGTAGATGCCTTGCAGCTTTTTGGTCCAGTGTATTATACTGGATGTAACTGTGCAACTGTATATTGTCTTCCCTTTAAAGACATATCTTGTGGTCAGATTTCTGGGAAGTGTGATGGAAATTGGTATGAGCCCCTTCCTAGACAAAGAAAATGGCATAACCAGGTCTGCCTGTTGTTAGTCATCAGCCCTGTATCTGACCTCCATGCATATGTGCATCTAATAACAAAAATGTGTGTTGATAAGCAGCATTTTATGAAAGAATGATTTGCTTAATATATTATTCTGGCTTAACATCTGCATGTGGATTGGAAACTGTCAGAGCGAAACAGAGTAATTTTAAAAGGTATATGACAATATAAAGATGGTGTGAGATAACCTGCTGGGACATTAGTGGTGAAATCAGATTGGCAAAAATAAGGGTTGACCTGTTACTTGGAAGAAAGAGGACGATTTATAACTGTGGTATGTTACAGTGTTAAATAACTCAATTTACTTTTATTTTAATCTGAACATTTGAAGGTCTTAGAAAATTAGTTAGAAGTCATTCGGTCTCTCTGGTTTGCACTAGTTTAGTAGTTTTTTGTTCCTTTCCTTTTCTTTTTTCTTTCTTTTTTCTTTTTTTTTCCCCTTTTTTGTAAGGCAATGTTGGTTGAGTATCTCCAAGAAAATGAAGCACCGGCAAGGGGGAAGAAAATCGTGCCTGTTATTTCATGTAGCCAGAGAAAGAAGCAACACCTTGGAGGTGAATGATAGATATTATTATAAAAGAGTTGTAGCTCAGGGCAGGTGAGCAGTGTGTTAATGAGGAGCCACCTCCTGCTTTCTGACAGATGACTGTCATTGTTCAAATGCTGCCATCAGATTGATTAATAACTGGGTCATCCTGCCCTGCAGTTGGAGTAGACTGTCTTCATTCTTTTGCTGATTTCTCTAATATGCTGACCTGGAGGTGACCCAATGGAGGTGGAGCTGAGATTAGCATTTCATTTCTTGTAGAACAACAAGAAAAAATTCACGAGGAGGCGATGGGTGCAGGGGGAGCACTAACCAAAAAGTCAAAGAATGTTCTTATCCCCAGAGCAACCCCCAAACTTATTCATCATTTATGAATAGGCAGTTTTAGCATTTGATGCATTTATATTTTTAATAAAGATTTAAATTCGTCAGGTTCTTTTTCTGCAGTGTCAGCTAAACGTAAATGAAAAGATGTATAAGGTCTTTTCAGAACACGCAAAGAAATGTAAAGACCTGTGTACTGAGGGGCAGGGGAGTGAGCTGATATAACATCAGAATTCCTGCTTTGCCCTAATGTCTCTTAATGTTCACTAAATTCACTATTAAAAGACCAAATAGTAAACAGCATGCTTTGACAAGTGAAATACAGGCGTATTATCCCAGATGACTGTTATTATGTGGAAAGAATGGCAATTCTCCTGCAAGATTTGTGTAATTTTCTCTCTTTTCTTGATTTAAACTCTTCTGAAAGCAATGGCATGGTGAGTTTACCTTTCTCCTTGTCATATGTTGGCAAGGTGTGATGGCTCTCATCTGCTTCGGGAGCATGGAGCACAATATAATAGTCAACTTGAGCCAGAGGGATACTTGCAACTAATTAGGATTCAATTTTCAGACTTTTTGGAACATTGCTTTGGCTAAAAGTTACATGAAAATATCCTTCAAATAGCTTGTGAAATTGGCTCATTTCTGGCACTCTTTTAAAATTACCGATCCCTCTATTACGTGGACCAGCTCCGCAATTTGAGACTTTTCTATTTAAATGCAACATTTGAAACATTTTGCAAGAATACCTACTATTCTATCCATCTTCCTAGAGTCCCCTCACTCCTCCTTTCTCATTACCCACAAAAGCAAACGAGCCCTTCTCTGCTGGGACTCCACAGCAGAGCAGAACGCCCCTATGGGTGAACAGACCCAGAAGTGCTCCCACGCGGTCACGCGTGCTCTGTCCACCTGCACGGGCCATGCAGAGCACCTTCAGCTCAGTTAAAGCATTAGGCCACTTCTGAGTTAGCTGCTTTGCTCCTTCAAAGGACAGCCTTCCCTTTTTAACTGAGGTGTATGTTTTCAGATATAAGCGGTGAGGAGCCAAAGCCAATAATTATCAGCTTCAAAAACAACTTCAAATCTCCTCACTGAGTCATGATTTGTGTTTTAAACGCATTCGGCCTTACAGCATGTGAGATTGCTTTATGCTCACAAAATACATAACTAGAGGCTAGGAAAAAACAAAACCCAGTAGAAAAAGAAACAGGAGGTTTGTCAAATGCAAAACATATCCAGCAGTTTGTTTTTAGTACTTAATGTATGTAGCACCATAGTTCAAGCCACTTCTGTACTGTGGAGCCATTTTTGAACAGTTATCTCTGCCTGCAGAATATTCCTTAAAACAAGAAAGAAAACCTTAATGCAGGTCATACCTCTGCAATAATTAAGGAGGTTTGGGTATGGAAGGTTCCAAATAGAAATGTTAAATCAGTTCCCCTTTACCTAAAGCTGCATGTGTGTATCCACCACATCCTGTGCAATGCATACAACCTGGTTCTTCATTCAATGCTGTGAGACCACCCCATGTCCCAACAAGCAGTTTTGGTGGTCTGGTGTTACTTTTGAAGTAGCTTCAACTTGGAAATGTTGAATCTGCTCATTAACAACCAAAAGGATGCAAACTTTCAGGCAGGTGTTGCTGTCCTCTTGTGCAAAACAGTGGGTGCCAAATAACTTTCAGTTTGTGTGAAACAACAACCAGGGCAGTTATTTTGCTGTTATAAGAATAATACTTAACATATATTCTCCACGAAAGTGGCTGCCCCTGGAGTCCAGGAATAAGTACATTATTAGGAGGCACATTTGACAGGGTGCCTTGGAGCTCTGTGAGGGGAGGTGAGCTTCTGAGCCTCTTGAAGTAACTGCTATGGAGATTCTCCATTTTGCTTTCACCCACTGTTACATCTATTCAGCATATTTGGGCTCTGATTTAGTAACATTGAAAGTTGACTTTAGACCCATAAAAGCCAGGAACCTCAGGGTTAAGTCTGAAAATCCTGGCTGCAGCTCTGGCTTTGACACAAGGCTTTATACCAAAATAATAACAATAATGCAAAAATTTGCCTTAAGGCTGAAGCTGCACACTAGATTTCAGATTCCACTGTGGCCTTCTTTCTTTACTGCACCCTTCTCTTCAGTCACTTTTTAAACTCTTTTTCATTACAACAAACATTTCTCAAACACTGCTTCAGACACCTAGGGTAACCAATACCTTTCTTTAGGTGGAAATGGTGATATCAAAGTAATGTAATCACTGTGAAATGGCAAATATCTTCTCAGCAATGCCCACTAAAAGACCTTTAAGATTCCTATCTTGGGATGTGTGTTGACAAACTAGTGTGCCATGGTAACTGAAGTGACAAACTAGTGTGCTGTTATATCTGCAAAATGCTTTTTTATGTTATCTAGTTTTGCTCCTTCTACTTAAACCGTAATTCAGAAAGGAAAGAGATCATTTAAGAGTTCTAGAAGACAGCAGAGAAACAAAGAAGTTTTCAGGGAGATGACTGAGTTATGGGTTGC